AACATACTCCACATTAAAAGACCTGATAAGATTAATCATTTATTAATAAACTAAAAACGCAAAAAAAAAAAAAACTGTATAGGACATTGATATATTCAGATAGGCATGCAAATGCAAAATATAGTTAAAGAACGGTAAAAACATTGTTGTGCAATTAATTTGCATTATTGACTTGCTTTCCATGTAGTAAAACATAGTACCTGAAATATAAAACAGAATCAAGGAATCATTTCTTTGTAAAGGGACAACAAAGTTTGCTACCACCGGGAATCGAACCAGGAACCTCAGGTTTTTAGGCTTTTGGTGAACTACACCTATATTCGGCTGGCCCCCAAGTGTCAGGCAGGGATACTCACCACTATACTAACGAGGAGCTGCGAATAGACCCTACACCCGGTGTTCTCGGGTCCAGCTGAGGCAACGTAGAGGTTATGTGTGGGTTTTGGAGTTGCTTGTTGCCAAAATATATTGTTTTCTGAATGGAAGTCAATACCAAGTTCCCAGTTCAGTGGAAGGACAAGTGTGCGTGCGTGCGTGCGTGCGTGCGTGCGTAGGAGCAAACTTCTGTGCGCATTGGTGGTTCAGTGGTAGAATTCTCGCCTGCCACGCGGGAGGCCCGGGTTCGATTCCCGGCCAATGCACTCCCTTTTTTTTACTTTTATGAGATGTCTTATATAAAGAGTGGATACTCACTGCTTACGAGGAGTTACCACCAGACCCTACACCCAAGCATAGGGTGTATGTTGCAGAAAGAAAATAGAAGGTGTATTCTCTCCTTCGGGGAATCGAACCCCGGTCTCCCGCGTGACAGGCAGGGATACTCACCACTATACTAATGAGGAGCTGGGAACAGTCCCTACACCCGGTGTTCTCAGGTCCAGCTGAGGCAACGTAGAGGTTATGTGTGGGTTTTGGAGTTGCTAGTTACCAAAATATATTGTCATCTGAAGACTGATGGGCCTTATAGAGACCAAAGGCCAGTCCTAATATAGTGGATCCCCTTGTTTAGGGGTCGGCATGAATGCAGTAACTGAAATGTATGAAAGGCAAAAGTCCCCATTCTGTATAAGGACAAGAATGTGTGTGTATGCAAGGGCAGGAGGATGGATATGTCAGCATTGGTGGTTCAGTGGTAGAATTCTCGCCTGCCACGCGGGAGGCCCGGGTTCGATTCCCGGCCAATGCAGACCCTTTTTTGTTTACTTGTATGAGATGTCTTATATAAAGAGGAAGAGCAGCGACTGTGTGTTGCAGAAAAAAATGGTACATCCTCCCCATCAGGGAATAAACAAACAGTCCTTATATGAGGTTATAATTTTTTCTTTACAAAAACTACTTGTTGTATCTTAAGTCTAGTTATTAAACTCAATAGGACCTATTAATCCCATGTAACTAGGAGGCTGATCAAATGCACTGCAAACAAAAGCCTCTCAGGAGGTTAGAAATATTATCCTTTTTGCAAGCCAATCTGCTGAGTTTCCTTAAACAGAAACTTTTTGAATTATGTTGAGTATAAAGTGAGTTGGTATTATTTAATCAAAACTTGAATTGAATTCTACGTTAATTAGTGCAATGTAGTTAATTGTAAGATTTTCTGTAAAATTTCTTTCAAATGTTGTCACGTGTTTTATTTATTAATACATGCTCCAATCTTTTTTGCTCCATACTAGGTCAATACGCTTTAGAAGACCATCTTTTATCCAGGAGAACTGAGTGTTCTTGGATTTCTTCTTCAGGAAGTCACCGATAGATATGGCCAAGCAAGTGAATGAGCTCATGCATCTTAAATATAAACAACCTTATTTAGCTTATCTACAGGCCATTGAGAGTGTCTGGGATGCAGAGGCTGGGGTACATGGACAAAGAACCATTGGGCAGTTCTTAAGGAAAAGCCACACACCATTTCCATTCAGCTCCTATGCAGAGGCCAAAAAGGTCAAAAATGATCTTAGTCTGTGGGACAAATCTGAGCCAAGGAGAGAGGATGCTGTACAGCAAAATGCTTTGTCTATGGTTCATGAAAGTGGTAGGGATGTCACAGATAGTCCTGGGTGACTCCAACCTTCAGTTTGGAAAATGCAGAAGAGAGACTTTCTGGTGGGTTACCCTTTGTATCCCATCCAAAATTTGCAAAAGGATGAGGAAGCCAGGATCTGTATCACAGAGAGGCCAAGCAAGGTGATCCACCTGACCTTTGTGAAGCATGTTCTCGGTTGTAAGGAGGTACAAGATGTCTTTGACTATGAAGCCAGCAGAGACAAAGTTGCAGTAGCCTCTTCTGAAGATGACCAGCTGGTTGGGTGTGTCTCTCAGGCCAAGAACACTTGGAAGGAAATTTGGGACAGTAGAGAAGATGGTTATGCTGGATCAGGAAGATCTGAAGAAGCTCAAAGAGGCCTACGAGTTCTGTGGTATTGAACCAGCCAGTTCAACCAAAGCACATATCCATGAGCACTGCAGGACCAAGATATCCACTTTTTTCAGAGCTGCTGGAAAGAGTGGAGAAAGTATTGAAACAATTTTACTTGGCCAAGGATCCCAACAACATCCCTCTGTTTAAGTCATCCATACTGAAGATGTGGTGCATGGGGGAACATTCAGCTGAACTGAAGGTGTAAAGGTCTGCATTTGGATTCCTGTCAGAGGTACATCACAGCAGGAGGGTTACCATTTCCACCAGGACCAGTGGGTAACTGGAAATGTGGTTTCCACTGAGCTGTTCCAAGTGCAGGACATGACAGGAGTTGGGCGTTGGAGCTACCAAAGACATGAAGCAGCCTGGAGTTGTCCTTCCTGCTGTGTTTGATTGAGCTTTCATAGCTGAATTGAACACTTCATCCAAAAGGATCATTAGCCAGGAAAACTATCCTGCACTCCAAATGTGACTGTGAAGTGTCAGCAGCACAACCGACCTCAAGGCCATCTTAATGTTTCAAAAGGAGGAAATCCGGTCAGAAGCCATCCAAGGTTCTCCAAAAGGCGAGGAAACATGAAGAAATGTAAACAGAAATGTATTCACATTGTCTGTAGTTGGTCCTAGGAGATGCAGGTACCGTTAGCAGGTTGTCAAACTGGGCTAGGATGAGACAAAAACATTACTGAAGGTGAAACTCAAACTCACAACACCTCTGAATTATTTGGAAATCTGTGATGCATTACTTTTAGAACCGCCTAGTGGCGACATGTGGAATTAAATAGCAGAGTTGCTGGAAGTGTAGAGCTAGCAGTGCATGACAATGCAGGAGTAGCATTGGGGGGCGAGGGTCATTAAATGCTACCTGCAGCTTTAATTCTGTCGAGAACAGCGTTTTTAGTGGTTTACTGTCTCCCCTTTCAGCAAAGAGTAAGCGTTGACTCGAAACTGTCGGCTAATGTGGTTATATTTATATTTGAATGAAGAACGAGAAGATGCTACTTCAGTTCTTTCTTCAAACAGCGAACGCTCCAAACAGAACCGGACGAGCTAGAATCATGAGGTTAATTCTATCTCATGACGGAACAGGTTCAATGTTTTGTAATCAACAGGAAACCACCGATTCCTTTCTAGTCAAGCGTATACACCGATGTAGACATTTCTTTTTCTTCCTATAACGTCTGAGATCACTTTCGCTCACCCCATAATTGCTTCTAGCCCTCCGTACATGCTGAAGTGTTTTTTAAATTTACAATTTAAAAATTCTTGATTGATTGATTGAAAAGCCATGGTATTACTGTGTGTTTCAGTTGTGATTATTCACATATTTCGAGCCGTGCCTTCGACAGTTGCCATCGGTGAGTATAACATCAATATGTAACAGTTTGAGTTGTAATCTTTAATTAACCTGGCTTTTTCTTTTTAGCAAAACAAAACAAAGTTTGAGTTAGCTTCATAACAACTGAAGAGAAATTTCACTAAGTTCTGTTACCTCCTTAACCATCTTTAATCTCGTCTAGCTAAACTTAACCCTTGTGTGTGCGAGGACTGAGGCAACTGATACAAGTGATCAGTTGTATCAGTTGGACTCCATTTGTAAACACAAGGGTTAAAATCTGCAGCAACCTGCCACAAGTGTCTCTTTGGACTTTCTACAATGGCTAATAATTGACACAGGACATGATGATTAGAGGCGTTTACTCTAATTATACAGAAGTTTTATTTATTTTATGAGTCAGAAGTAAATAAACTAAAAGTAAAATAGGTCTGGAAAGAAGATATGACCGAAAGTGTTTAACATGTTAAAGAAAAATTTTCTTCTTTTTCATTCACAGCTGATTTGATCTACAAAAAAGTAGGTGACTCCGTTGCCCTGTCGCCAGGTCAAAGTTTTAATATCATCAGTAGCGTAACGTGGAAGCGCCAAACGGACCTCGTCTTGCAGTGGTTCGGCGGGGACATTACTTGTTACAGAGATTTTAAAGGCAAGTTCACCTGAAACTGAGCCATAAAGTGTTAAACTTTGCAGGTTCATTTTTGCATGATCTCTTTTTCTGGATTCTGCCTCCAGGTCGCTGTGACCTGGACATAGAAAGTGGAAGTTTGATCATCAACAATCTGACGTTGGATGACAGCGGCAGCTACACCTTTGACATCAACAACAGCGTTCTTGACAAAAAGAATCTCCGGGTTATCAGTGAGTTTCAGCAAATTTGTTTGGCTTTCACCTGAATGCAGTTGATGGTAATCTGTTGGTGTTTCTGTCAGAACCGGTTCCAAAACCCACGGTATCCTTGGACTGCAACAATGAGAAGACCGTCTGTAATCTCACCTGTGAAGCCAACATCACCTCTGAGTTTGGACCTGTCACTTATACATGGGAAACAGGAGACACAGAGCTGTCCAACGACAAGGAGCTGAGCTTAACAACGGTACAAACACAAACTGATCTAAATGTTCAAGTCAGGATGTGACCTAGTTGTCAAGATAAATCACATTTAAACCCTGAGTGGTGATTATAGAATGAATATAAGTGAAAACATTGCTGGTTTTGAGCTGTTTTTCATTTGTTTCTTAGGACAATAAGGAGAGCTCCTTCTCCTGTATGTTGAGAAACCCCATTAGCATCAACTCCAGTGAAGAAGTATCAAAGCCGGCGAGTGGGGGTGAGTTAAAGCACACGTTCTGAATATTTTTATTCCTTTGTTCTAAAATATCCTGAACTAATGTCTAAACTCAGCTGTAAACAGTGTGGTTTGCTAAGTCAATTTTTCATGCTTTTTTTGCAGAGAATTTTAAATATACTGCTCTGACTGTAAAGCTCCTGATTATAGCACTGATTCTGGTTGGGACTGGCCTTTTTGCTGCATGCAAAAAACGTAAGAGTCCACAAAAGCATTCAATATTCCTCACCTTTTTATGCTTTATTTAGTTACTGTAAGTAAACATTGGCTTTTACTGTTCACTTCAGGTGAGCTTTATTGTGTAAATTTCAATAATCAGCAACAGAAGAATAAAGTTTACCAATTTGACAAATGCAAACTTCATATTAGGGCTTGATTTAACATTAACTGCTTGTTTAAAAGTTACAGCTTTTTTGTCTGTTGTGGCAACAAAAGGAAAGAAAATCTCAAACATTTGCATTTAAATTACAGGGAGACTTGGAGCCATGGCCGCAGTTGGTGAGTGTTTTACAATTTTTGCAACTTTAGTTTTATTTTTCAGCATTATTAGATATTTAACTATTTCTTTCAAAGAGCTTCATTGGCCTAAAATGCAAGCTTATGTATAAAAAAAAAACATACTTTGACTGTACATCACCTAAATGGGTAAAGATGGGTTTCCCTGAACCAGGAAGTGCTGCGCTCACTCAACCTGTCGGCCGCCTTAAATCTGCTTCTGTTCTCAGACGTGTCGCGTATTGACTCACCTGCTGAAGAGTTGGATCTGAAGCAGCTCACATCTCCTCCGCTGCCAATGGAGGACTATGAAAACGATGAAGAGAACTTCATGGTCCATCGTGACGAAGACCCTCCCTGGGCTCCACGCAATTATTTAGACAAAGGTTTGTGTTGTTAAGGTGTTTAGATCCACCTTAAATAACTCAAGTTGTTTAGAACAGAGGTTCCTAAACTTTTTGTCTCCCAACGAGCATCAGCCTCTGCAAGCCCACAGATAATATTTCAAAATATGTAAAGAAAAATCAACTTTTAGAATGTTTTTATTCACGAATTGTTACATGACATTTGGCATAAATATTGCTTCATACCTTTAGTTCTGTGGTGGAAAAATATATTATTAGTGACAGAAAGAGGTTCCATACCTCTACAAATAATTATCAATATAATGTAGGAGTTTTAATGACATTACAGTTTGGCATAATTGTCTTCTTTATTCTTTTTTTGTTTCCTCAGTGGTGGCCGTTTACAGCTACAGCGGTAGCAAAGACGATGAGCTCTCCTTCCAGCAGGGGGCGATCATCTACGTCACCGAAATGAGCGACAACGGCTGGTTTGACGGCGTGATGAACGGGAGCACCGGGCTCTTTCCTGGCAACCACGTGGCGTCCATCATTCACTAGGCAACTAAGCCTGAACAACAATGCATCTCCGTCGACTTTAATATCATAAAAAAGTTCATTTATTTCAGTAATTTAGCTCAAAAAGTAAAAAAATATTGATTCGTTACACATATGACTTTTTTTTTTTAAAGGTTGGCTTTGTATTTTATTATTGAGTGTTTCTTATTATCTCTTAACTACCAATATAAGTCTGATTTTCGTAGTCTGTCTCTTGTAAAATAAACTTTGTCCTCAATAAATTTTTACCTGGTTAAATAAAGGTTGAAAAACATTCAGTAACTATCACACAAGCGGTAACTGAAGCATTACTTTCTATCAAAAATGTAAAAAAAAAAACAAGTTGGGGGTAACATCAGTCTCTACACGTCAAATAAAATACAATAAATAACCCTAAACAAACTAAAGAGTAATCCTTCCAGTTAACAGCTGTAAAAGTAAACACACTTAAAATGTTAAAACATGGCAAAATTACACACAAAACCCTGTATATAATTAAATTGGTCTAATATATGTGCTAGTGCATAAGACTGGAAGATCAATCAATCAATCAAATGTTATTTGTATAGCACATTTCAGCAGCATGGCATTTCAAAGTGCTTTACATAATTAAAATAAAAACAGCATGTGAGAAAGAGATTTAAAAAACATAATTAAAACGTTAACAGTGAGAAAGAAATAAAAAGCTGTAGAACTTTAGCTGAGACGTGATTAGTTGATAGCAACAGAAAAGGGGAGGAGCTTCCTGTCGCTTGTTACTATGGTAACCAGCAACTGTCGAGAGAAACATAACGGTTTTATTTAACTGACGAGTGAGAGCAGTGCGTTATGTTACCTTGTTAGCTTTGTGTGAACAGACTCTTTGGAAACCATATAGAGACTTGAGGTATTTTTGTTTTTCTGCATTTGTAAGTTATTTATCCAAACCTGGCTTGTTGCATGGTTCTTCTATCTACAGAAATGTGTTTTTTTTTTTGTTTTTTTTTGTTTCTTTGTTTTTTCAATTTGTACAGATGCTTGTTTTCATAGTGAATGACTGAAGTATGTGTGTTTTGTTTCTGCTGACACACATTACCAGAGTTACTAGTCAAAGTTGTGTTTTTGGTTCTTTTCATATCAGGATCATGTCTGTTTTCCGGACTTTTTCCGCCGTTCTCCTCATTTACTTAATGGTGCAGAAGAGTTGTGGTGAGTACAAATATGGAATATATTGCTTTATTTTGCTCTGTTTTCCTTCTGTTATAAGTGTAAAGAAAAAAACTAAAAGTAGACATGATAAACAGAGACAAGTTAGCAGGTAGAAGTGAAAAAGTTCTTGTTTTTCATTCACAGCTGTGATGATCTACGCAAAAGTCGGTGACTCGGTTGTCCTGCATCCAGGTCGGAGCTTTGATAACATCACTTCCATAAGCTGGGGGCACGAAATGAGCCCCATCTTGGAGTGGTTTGGACAGGACATTATTCTTTACAAAAGTCATAAAGGTAAGTTCACCTGTGATTAAAGTGTTGTAAAACCTGCGACCTGCAGGTTCATTCATGTGACATCTTTATTTGGATCCTGCCTCCAGGTCGCAGTGACTTGGAGAAAACAACAGGAAGTTTGATCATCCACAACCTGACAGTAGAGGACACCGGCCTCTACACACCTGAGATTAACCGCTTGAGTCATAACCCAGTGGTTCTCCAGGTCATCGGTGAGTTCAGCAGGTTTGACTGAACTTTGTTGGCTTTAATCTGAATCCAGCGGACGGTAATCTGTTGGTGTTTCTGTCAGAACCGGTCCCAAAACCCATGGTGCACTTAAAATGCAACCCTAGGAAAACCCTCTGTGACCTCACCTGTAAAGCCAACACCAGCTCTCGGTTTGGACCCGTCATGTACAGATGGGAAGCAGGAAACAAGGTGGTGTCCACTGATAATCAGCTCAGCTTAACAACGGTATGTTGTAAGACGGATCCATTTGTCTGGGGAGAAATCCTCAATGACACCATAATGGGTCGGTTTAGAGCTGTTTTCCATTTGCTTCGTAGAAAAATCAGAGTCGTGCCTACACCTGCAAGGTGAAAAACCCTGTTAGCACCTCGTCCAGCGACGAGGTGGCGACTCCTATCAAAGAAGGTGAGCTGCAAATATAACTGTCTTTTTTTTAAAAAGTCTGGCTTTTACTAACAGTTTATTCATGGGGGAAATAACTTTTACCCTTTTTTATTAATTGACAACTGTATTTATTATTTATTCTGGTTATCTTTTATATTAATTGTTTTATTCAAACATTTATTAGTGACAGAAGAGCAACAACTACGGAGGGGAATTTCTGCCGCTGATAAAATAATATATAAATAACATCTCATAATTATGACAAAGCTAGTTCATAACTATTAGATAAAGTCATAAGGAAAATTTAAAAACTTTCATCTCATTATTATGACTTAACTACCTCATGAAAACGATGTAGTATAACTAAATCATAATTATAAAATAAAAGTTGTTTTTTTTTTCATCAAAGTGGCAGATGGAGTACTTTTTTTTGAAAGTTTATAACAAAGAGGAACTAAACTTGGGAGAAATAAACTGACATGGCAATAATGATGAACACAGAAAATAATCAAAGTAAAAACAAAAGAACATGGAGAAACGCTAAAGACAGGAACCAGGGATGAACTGATGAACAGAACAAAAAAAAAATAACCAGAGAACGGTGAAAAACTGAAAAATTACAAAATGATAGATCATAAATAATCTAAGGAGCCTCCTTGTCCTTGCTGATGAAAAGCTTCCCCCTTAGCATGATGCTGCCACCATCATGGCTGCCACGGTGGATGCAATGTTACGTTTCTGCCACATAAAGCCAGAGCAGCTAGAGCCGCGGGTGTTGGGCTGTGTTACAGGGACGGATTTAGTTTTAATAACTAACTCTGTATCTCCAGGGTTTCATCCTTCAGCAGTGGTGGTACCTGTTGTGCTTGTAGTCCTGGTTCTGGTTGTGGCTGGTGGCTATGTCAAGCACAGGAAAGGTGAGAATTATTACAACGTCTCATCATGTTACATTTCTTCCCATTTTTGGAGAAAAACAAGGAAATCTTATCCATCCTAATGTAAAAAGGGTTTGTGTTTATCCGTTTTGTTGGATCCATACGTTTACTTTTCACGTATGGCTTTGAATTTTTTTCTGTTTCTGTCGCAGTTAGCTGAAATAAATGCTGAAAAACAAACATTCCCTTTTCAGTTGGCAGTAATTTAATCAGAAAACTAACTTATATATTTTCTTTTTTACATCTACAGAGATGAAACAAGCACTGAATGTCGAAGCAGCCCATGCAGAGAGGACTTCTATGAGCCTGAAAGCCATGAGGAGAAACGGTAACATTCGATCATTTAGAGTCTGGATTCATCCCTCGTTTCTTTGCACTTTAATGGAAAGCAGACAGACTTCCTTGTTGTCCTCTAAGATGTCCTGAACCAACATCTCAACAGGTTTTCTCGGACAAAAGCAACAAAAACATGAGTTACATCTGCCCGGCTGCAAAGATTATTTTTTTACACCATATTTCTCCAATTTACTCAACAGTAATCCATGGCTTGTTGTGTCAAATGCTTTGTTTACTCCCACAGTATATTCCTATTTATCAGTCACATCAGCTAAATCTTCTAATAGTTGCCATACGGCCGTTGAAGTTGACCTTTTTAGCTCTAATTTCCATGAAATTGTCAAATCATTACTAAAACAATTTTTCTAAAACGTGAAAGATGAGATAAATTGTTCTATTATTGGAGAACTGATATTTATCACCACTTTTTATATGATGTAATGACTTGTTTTGTTGAAATAGATCCATTTGAAAGGACACAACTTCAAATATCAACCAGCCAGACATCAACTAGTAAAAGAAACGTAGCTGAACTCACATTTTCATCTCTGTTGCAGGAATGAGTTTGGAAAGTTTTGAAAGTGGGTGAGTTACCTGATCTTCTATAAATACCTTTACTAAGACAGCTTGAACTTTAACCTCTGTGCCAAGGGTCATTTATAAACATTGGGTTGTAATTGAGGAACTGCAGGTTGTGGAGAATCAGTTAGAAGCTGCAACTGTTTGATGCAGGCTTTTGTTTCGGAATATTAAACATTTTTTTACATGTTCAGAAAACCAAGCAGCAGTTTGCTCTTTACAACACGCAAAATTTATTTTCAGTAAGTTGAATTTGCCTCTTTTGTTCCTGGTGTGGTGACAGATTGATCTCACCAGCGATGATGAAGATGAACTCCAGACAAGGACGCCTTTATCTCCAGGGTGATGAAGAACAACGCCTGCATGACGACCAGGAACTTAAGAAGCAAAGCCAGGAGCTTCAAGTTAACACAGACGTCTAAATTCATCACAGACGTATTGAATCGAGCAAAGCACCTCTTGAGCTTTTTCTTTGAAACCTCACAGCAAACTAAATACATTTTATTTGGAGTTTGAACACAAAGTAGTTTAGAAGAATGTCACGTTGTTACCCTGTTGACACAATATCAACCGGGCCTGGCATGTTAACTCCTTTTTAAAGATCTATCTTAATGTTTAAAGGGTGGACACATAATGTCGTTTTAATAAGAAGAAAATAAAAATGCAGCAACTCAGGCTAGTTTGAGAGCGCTGCTTGTTGACCGAGGAAGAATCCGGAAGTGATGTTTTCACCCGAGAAGAGCAGCTTTATGGGACAATACCTTTACACCACAAAGAATGGTGTTGGTTTATTTAAGTTTCCTAACTTAAACATGTCAAGTTAGGAGCATATTTAGATAAACTAGTGGCTAAGCTAGTCCATTCTGTGCTCTGAACATTTTGAGTTGGACTGCTTGGATTTTGTCCCCATCTTAAAAGAGTTGCTTGTTTTTTTCAGTACAACTCAAACATGTGCTGCTCTCTGCTGCAGTACCGACTGCGCCCCCCAGGGGCGCTGCAGCCAAACCGAGCAGGAATCAGCAGCACTTCAAGGCTAAAACATCAAAAATATTCTTCCTTGCAGTTTATTTCTTTGGACTGTTTTGCATATTTTGAGTTTTCTTCTCCTACAAAAGTCGGGTTTCTTGTATAAAACAAGGATAAAAACAGAAAGATTCTGTCTGTAAAAGAAAAATATAGATATTTAATTTTAGTTTAATAAAATGTACCATTTGGGCACCAAAATGTAAAAGTGTATAGTCAATTTAACGGTGCCTCGAGAGTCTTTAAAATCTCATTGCAAGATGGAACATGGTAAACAATGCATTTCCCCTTGAGGATCAATAAAATATTGTATTCTATTGCAGGTATAGTTCTGATTAATAATCATTTAATTTCAAGACTAATTATGGATTTTTTGAACTCTGAAGTTGAGCCAGTATTGACTTTCAGCCACACACACGCACACACACGCACACACACACACACACACACACACACAGGCATAATGTAGATATTTCAAACACAGAGAAAACACAAGAAAGATTAGCACACACATACCCAACAATATCCAAGGCCATAGTTCACGGTGAACCTGTGTGACGCCCTCTGCTGGTGCAGCTTGTTCTGTTAACTGTGTTTCCATTAAATTCAGGTTCTGGATCAGGAGGAGCCTGAGGTCACATGGAGACACGGGTCTACCTGGACCTCCTAAAAGAGTTTTGGAGAACCAGGAGGGAGATTCTGACCTGCTTGAAGGACATCTGGGAAGGTCGGCGGGACAGACTGAGGTGGCTCCTGGTATATGATGAGTGCCCACGTCCTCTAGACTTGTGTTTTAAAAAATAAAAGCCTCTAAAGGGCTTAAAATGGTTATTGGTGTCGCATTCTCCCATTTTTCTGCTACGGTGTTAACAACTTATTCTGGATTATTGTCCACCATGGTCGTGGTTTTCCTTCCCAGGATGCAGGATAGTGACATTTATTTAGTATAAGGTCAAATAAATGCAACCTGACCATGCAGACACACAGGTCATATTTGAAAAGATCAGATGTGTATCAGATTTAGAACCACATGTCCCAGTAGCTTTTAGTTCTTTATTTCTGTCACTTCAGCCTTAGTTTCATAGATGTTTCTTGCAGTCTTGAATGTTTACGTTACATTATGCTGACGATGCTCAGCTACATCTTCTTCTCTGTTGTTTTTGAACCAGAACATCTGGAGAAAGATCAAATAATTAAGTAAAGTATCTTAAAGCCCATATTAAACTTCTTGGATTTTCATTTTTCACCTCCAGATTACAAATATTCTGTCCAGGAGTGATGCTGTAAAACGGGTCCATGAGTTTGTTACTGCAGGGCTGCACTGATGTAACACTAACAGATCACACCTGAAATGCACAGCATTAATTATGATGGTAGATAAAAACATACAAAATATGGAAAAATTACACATGAAACCCTGTGTATAATTAAATCAGCCTAATATAATGCTGGGGAAGAAAACACAGGGCTGATCCTGATTCACTCCATGGTTACTGGTTGTTATGGTAACCACCAACTGTCAAGAGCAACATAACTGACAGGAGGGCAGGGCAGCGCCAGAAACAGTGAGTACGGCTGTGTTATCTTTACTGCTTCCCTTTTTCTTGTCTGTTTGTCTCTTTGGAAACCACAGAGTAAACTTAAAAGTGTTTTTGTTTTCATTTACCCACATTTGTAAATTATAATGAGTAACGTGAGTCATTTATTTGAAGCTGGCTAGTTGTTCATTGCTACTTTTCATTCTTTCATCTAAAGAAATGTTTTTTTTTAATCAACACTTACACATCTTTTTGTTATGTCTGACTGAAGGATGCATCAGATGGCTGCGTGTTTTACTTTGACTGTTTTCCTGCTTTTTATAAAGTAGAAGTTGATCTTCTCGTTCAATTAGCAGTTGGAGTCGACAGCACCAAACAACAAAAGATGGAAGTGATAGCATGAAACTACATGTGCACTGACCTCTGACCTTAAACCCGGAAGTAAGTGGTTCTGTTTGGACTCAATCTCACATGGACAAATGTTCAGTAGAAAGAAATCCTTTCAGCAGCAGTCAGGAGGTTCGCTGCGATAAAATCAACCTTATTAGTCCTGATTTAATGGATTATAATAATAAGAGAGGTTTGTTTTTCAGACAAGAGAAAATATATTTAAAGTTATTTGTACCTAATGGTTTTAATAGATGTTTCATGCTCACGAGTGTCCAAAAACTAAAACAAATCACTAAATAAATGCAAAAGTAATGTCAAGTATTTAATTTGTAATTTATTTTAAGAAGGAATGAGCCAGCGTTAGAGAAAAATTAGACAAATGGTGGACTGTTTGTTGCAAAAGGAAAGAACACAGAGCTTTTTAGTTATTTTATTGTATTTTTCCTACTTTTCTTGTTTAATATTAAAATTTTCCGAGATGCTGGATAATTTGTGTGCAGTCATCGTCAAGCCAAATAGAATTAAACACTTAAATTACGTGATGAATGTGTCTGATGTTTCACTTTTTGAAATATTTTTCTGAATCATCTCCAAAACATCCGTTCAGTAAAACAGAGGTTAGCATCACATATTTACATACTTTGCCTTTCCAACTTTGTTATTTCTCTCTTCGCAGCTTAAACAACATCACCAGTATTACTAGTCGGCGTGTTTTTGGTCTCGGTACTTTTCATGTTAGCATCATGTCTGCTTTCTGGACTGTCTCTGCCGTGCTCCTCCTTTACTTCACGCAGAATAGCTGTGGTGAGTGTAAACAATGATTATATTGTTTTATCTGGTTGTATTTCTGCTTGGTAGAGATAGAAATGACATAATTACAGAACAGAATAAACTTTTATTATTACTACTTATATGCTGATAGCTACTCCATGGAGAAAAAAAGGGCCAACTTGCATGATATCAAAGTTGTATATCTGCAGATCAAAACTCTAAGAGTTTTTATGATGATACCTACAGATTTGCTTTGTTTATGGGAATAAAGAAAACATTTAAAATAGATATGATTGAGTGGTGTCAAAATATTAAAGCTGCTCAGAAACAGGAAAAAGTTCACAGAAAGTGATAAAAAACATTTTGGTTTTTCATTCACAGCTCGTCTGATCTTGGCAAAACTTGGTGACTCGGTTGTGATGCATCCAGGTCAGACCTTTGATTCCATATCTGCCATAATCTGGAAGCACAACATGAACATCATCGTGGAGTGGTCTGGAACTAATACAACGTGTTTTAGAGGTTTTATTGGTAGGTTCCTGTGTGATTGACTCGTCGTAACACCTGAACCCCTGCAGATTCATTCATGCCTGTATTTGGATCCTGCCTCCAGGTCGCTGCGGCCTGGACAAAACAACTGGAAGTTTGATCATCAGCAGTCTGACAGTAGAGGACACCGGCCACTACAACCCTGAGATAGACAGCAAGATTCTTGACGTGATAGAGCTCTGGGTTATCAGTGAGTCCAGCAGATTTGACTGAGCTTTAACCTGAGTCCAGTTGACGCTAATCTGTTGGTGTTTCTGTCAGAACCGGTCCCAAAACCCACAGTGTTCTTGGAATGCAACAAGGAGAAGAGTCTCTGTGACCTCACCTGTAAAGCCAACATCACTTCTCATTTCGGACCCGTCATGTACAGATGGGAAGCAGGAAAAAATGTGCTGTCCCGTTCCACGAGGCTGACCTTAACAAAGGTATGTTTTAAGGTGAAGCCGAACCTCTGAGTACAAACAACCGGGATGAACCCATGATGCTCCATTTGCTTCTTAGGCGAACAGGGAGCACTCCTACGTCTGCATGTTGCTAAACCCCTTTAGCAACTCGTCCAGTGATGTGGTGCCTAACCCCATTAGCCATACCGGTAAGCTGCAGACATTTCCATCTGTGTCCTTTTTAAAAAGTCTGGCTGTGATCAGTTATGGATATTAAAACTGAACCCAAAAACATTGTTTCTCAGTTTATTGTGATTTAACAACAAATATAACTACCTTTTCTATTTTACTTGAGACCAGATTAGATTGGAGACTTTTTTTCATTTGACAATTGCATTTTGTTTTTATTATGGTTCTGATGGTGTTCTCATTATGACTTTAATGCCACATGTCAAATATGAGTAAGTACGCATGTTAGTACCAACAGCAGTGGGTGTTGGACTGTGTTACAGTCTGGAGCTGGTGAACTGGTGAATGGCTTAGTTTCAATAACTGACGCTGTAGTTTCAGGGTTTCATCCTGCAGCAGTGGCTGTACCAATTGTGCTTCTGGTCCTGACTCTGTTTGCGGTTGGTGGCTATGTTAGGCACAGGAAAGGTGAGAATTCACTAAAACATGAAGCAGTCGCTTTCCTGTGTTACTTCCTGTTTTTAATACTGAATCATTACAATTATTTAATGACTTTAGATAATATCGCCATGCAAGACTTTCATCGCATTAGTGTAAACACTAAAAACTCAGCTGTATTTCATAAGCTTTATAATTGTAATAATCTTCCTGTTCTGTGATTAAAGAACCACGGTGGATATAACATTTCTTTTTTTTTTCTTTCATTTTTACAGAGAAAAAACAAGCACAGACTGCTGAAGCAGCCCAAGCAGAGAGGACTGCTATGACCCTGAAAGGCAGAAGGAAAAATGGTAACATTAGATCATTTGGAGTCTGGATTCATCCCTCAGACTTCCTTGTTATCCTCTAGAGCAGCTGCAACCAACATAACACCATATTTCTCCAATTTATTCAACAGTAATCCATGGCTTGTTGTGTCAAATGCTTTGTTTACTCCCACAGTATATTCCTATTTATCAGTCACATCAGCTAAATCTTCTAATAGTTGCCATACGGCCGTTGAAGTTGACCTTTTTAGCTCTAATTTCCATGAAATTGTCAAATCATTACTAAAACAATTTTTCTAAAACGTGAAAGATGAGATAAATTGTTCTATTATTGGAGAACTGATGTTTATCACCACTTTTTATATGATGTAATGACTTGTTTTGTTGAAATAGATCCATTTGAAAGGACATAACTTCAAATATCAACCAGCCAGACATCAACTAGTAAAAGAAACGTAGCTGAACTCACATTTTCATCTCTGTTGCAGGAATGAGTTTGGAAACTTTGGAAAGTGGGTGAGTTACCTGATACCTTTACCAAGACAGCTTGAACTTTAACCTCTGTGCCAAGGGTCATTTATCCACATTGGGTTATAAATGAGGAACTGCAGGTTGTGGAGAATCAGTTAGAAGCTGCAACTGTTTGATCGAGACTTTTGTCTTTTAATATTAATTTTTTTTTATATGTCCAGAGCCAAACTGCAGCTTTTTGCAATACACATAATTTACTTGCGATATCTTTCTCTTTTGTTTCTGGTGTGGTGACAGACCGAACCCACCTTCAGCACGGAGGTTCAGCTCTGCACGAGATCTTTATCTCCAGCCTGACGATGAACGATGGGTGCAGAACAATCCGGAGCTCAGGAGGGTGAGCCGTGAGCTTCGGGAGTTCCGACTTCAAAGAGACATCTAAATTCATCACAGACGTATTGAATCAAGCAAAGCACCGCTTGAGCTTTTTCTTTTGCCACCTCACAGCAAACTAAATACTTTTAATTGGGATTTTGGATGCAAAGTATTTTAGATCAATCATTCGTTACACCCCAAGTCAACTTTTTCTGCTCATAAACTGTCTAAATTGGTCCACAATGGTGTTATCTTTATGTTTCTGTGAAAACTGTTACATTTTTGTATTGAATTCTGCAATATTAGGCCTAAAACCATCGTATTGCTGCCCTCTTCAGGTTGAACAGGGTAACAGCTTGGTTAGCGTTCGTGTCACACAGCACCATGTTCGGGTATAAAACCTTCTGACACTGGACAGTTACTGCAACGTCATCGGTGCTTTCACATGCCGTCAGCATAGAAATCTCCAGCCTAGTTCCCACAAGGCTGAAGTGGAAGTGATCGGCGCCATCTTTGTAGGCAAGGGCATACACATGGCTTCAAGACCAACAAAAAGAAAATATGTGGAAACTTTTGGCCAATGTTCGAAAGAAAGATGCATGAACAAAATGGCTTCACTTCAGGTGAAGTAAGTGTAGCAAAATATAGCTAGGCTACATGTTTGTTCGTTAGCGTGCAGGAAAAAGCTACATTTGCTAAGCTAATTTTGCTATTTCCACCGTAAGATCTACATTAAATATATCTGATATTTATCTTAGGATTACTAGAGGTGGGAAGAGTACTCAAAAACTGTAATGTACTTATATTTTTTATAAGTTAGGAACAGCTTTTATAAGTCAGCTTGTTTATTGTTGTCATACCACCTCTATGGCAACTGCCTGCCAAGATGGCTGCCAGTTGCAAAGTTAACAGAAGTGTGACGTCAACAGAAAAAAGCTGCTGGCCACTTTTTTGATAAAAATCCGTCAAACGTGTCTGAAATGTAGCTGAATGTAGCGATAAAGTTGCTAACCTGGCTCATCACCACTCTTGGCCACGCCCTTTGGTCTCCTGGCTCCTCCCACTTTGGTGGAGGCATGCACAAGTTACACTTTTAAAAAATCCAGCGCAGCTATCCTCACAGGACAGCAGTTGGTTAAAAGGGACACAGTTGTGAAAAAGTTTGAGGTGATGAGATTATGTTCACCTAAAATGAAACGGCAGACGGCGACAGTATTAACCAGAGAAGAAGCCAAGAGACCTATTTTAACTCTGGAGGGGCTGCAGAGATCCACAGCTCAGTTTGGAGAATCTTTTCACCACAGCTGGACAGAAACTAGTTCCATTTACTTAGTTGTATTTACTTACTTGAGTAACTTTAAGAGGGAAAACAACTTAAAATTAGTTTTACTGCGCCACACTTTTTATTTTTAAATGAGTAATAGTATTATGAAGTACTCTTACTTGAGTAAAATTTAATTACACTCCAACAACAACAAGTAACTTGAATGAAGAACAAGTTTTAACCAAAATTGTACCAGACACAAACCTTCAGTTTATGTCAAGGTGAGATCTCATACACAAGCTTTGTCTTCTCTAATGCTAATTTAATTTTTTGCCTTTTGCTGAGCTATTTGGAAATGAAGAAGATATGGTAAACACTAGATATAACCCTGAAACCATATATTTCTATATGATACAAAAGTTTAATACATGCACTGAATAAAAAAAGACATTGGCATATGTTTTTATCTCTGAAGTTAATTCAAGATAAACTCATGTTTTAGGTAAGTTTAGACCACCACAATAAGTTATATTTGTTAAATGCCAGAAAATGTAATTGTCCTTAGCAATTTTTAGAGCTTTTTAAAAGAAGTTTACATACACTTGGTCGGTATATAATTGTCTTTTTGAACTTGCGTCAAACTTGACCTGTTGTCAGTATTATTATATAGATTTGTTCTACCTAAATGTGTTCTTTTGTAATTATTTTTTATTTGTGTTATTTTTATTTTTTCAATTTAGACTTTAAGATATATGAGGTATTTATGCTGCTTTTCGGTAAGAGAAGCGCGGTTACCTGACTTGCGCATGCGCGCAAGTACGTTGTCATGGTTACTAATAAACAAGCGTTGTAAACATCTACGTTGTTGTCCGTGTCGCTGCTTGATGATTTTATAAACCCGTAACTCAACTGTTCTTGAAGGAATAAACCTACCGGAGGTTCAGTGTGATAAAATCAACATCTAGTCCTGAATTTGTGTAGGTGTGAGTTTCAGACGAGCAAATGTACGGGAAGCCATTTGGACAAAAAGCTAGAAAAACTTGAACGTTTAAAAAGGCCTTACCGGCTTATGAGTACAGAATCTTTTTAATGACTAAATAAATGATATAACCATATCAAATATTTTATTTATATCATTTATTTTTAGAAGAAATTAACAAATTATTGAAAAATTACAAACACTGAAACAAAATGTGACTTAATTATATTAAGCCATAGGCGTAACTTCCTGAAGGACTAGCGTGGACATGTCCCCACCAACTCTGGCATGAAGGGGACAGTCCCCACCAATATTTCATGCATCCTTTTTTTCTTTATGTGCCTGAATCTATGTATACATAGAAAGTCGTAGTCAAAGCATTAACAGACAGGTAATGCTTTTAAAAATTCCTTTGTAAAACGTAAATGGCAAGTCCGCTCAGTGATCTAGTGGATTGGACGTTTCGTGACTTACTGTGCGCGCCGTGGCATTGCGCCACATGCGCTGTTGGTTTGCATTGAGTCAGGAATATCGGTGGTCGGGGAAATGACACAATCAAGCAAAGAATCTGAGAAGGAGGCGCAAAGTTTTGATATTAATTGTCAACACTACGACGACAACAAGATAACAAGGTCCAAAGGGATCACATTTCACAGGTCAGCAAAAAGCTTTAATTAAAAAATATATAACAAGAAAGTGGAGAGTAAGTTAGTTATGCTGGCTTAACTTTAACATGTGCTCTCGGTGCGCACTTCGGAGTATTTCGGTTCAATTAGCGATCACTGCCTAATGGAAATTCAGAAACATAAATCTGCAACAGACAGAATGTTTTGTTCTGTGTTTTTATGTCCTTTGTTGTGGGGCAAAAATGTTTTTGTGGTTTTTTTTAAGTGTTAATTCCTGATGCACCTGAACGTAATCTTTGCTCTGGGCTCTCGGGACTATTGTTTATTTGTTTCCATGGCAACGAGTCTGCGTGTGACGACAGACTGAGAAAAGAAAATTATATAACCTCCCGTTTTTATAAAAAAAGAAAAAAAAATCCCCTGGACAAATTGCATCATTTGTTCGTAGAATGTGATGATATTCGGAGAAATCATCAAATAGGATGAAATATTTCATAAAGTACATAAGAGCCAAAGTTTGTTCAATTTTAAACCATGGCTCCTACAGCGACAGTTAAGTAAAAATTAAATTACTGGTCAATATAAAAGAGAAATTCGCTTTGTTCTGTCTTGTCTCTTTACAGAACTGACAGACACCAAACTATTTACAGATTTATATGCAGAGAATATATTTACATATTCAAACATCAGCATCTCAGCTTTAAGACGCATTATCAATCCAATAACATTGATGGTCAATCTATTCACCAACTGCCCCAACCAGACCCAAAAAGGTTTTTGCATCTTTAATGTTTGCTATATTAAAAACACATCATATCTCATCTGCTATGCGTAATTCAGCAGGTTTTGCAGCCGAGCAGTCAGAATCACATAATTAAAAAATACAAAGTTTTCACTGACAAGGATTCATTTGGTTTACACAGAAGTTACTTATTCTGCTTTTGAAATGTTTAATAACATTTTGATTGTTACAGAATCATGTTGTTGATGTTTTTAGCGCTTGATGAAATCAGACAATAAAAGACGACTATGTGATAATTCTTCACAAAAAATTACTGAATTATGAAACTGTTTTCAAGCATTCAGCACATAAAGACTGATTCCATAAATTAGAATATGACTGAAAATTTCCTTTGTCAGCAATTCCATCACCACGTGAAATACATTACATAGATTAATTAGATTACATATGTTTTAACATATTTATATTTCGTAGTGTGTTTAATAGCTGCTAAAAGGTTATTTTTGAAAAGTACTATTAATCTGACAAGCCTCATCAGGACATATATCCTCATTTATTGAATAAGACTGTCTGGCATTCACATTTAAATTTTACCTTTATTTTTAGCACTGAAAACCAAAAGATCTTCCAGTAACTGGGTACATCAGCGCCCCGCCCTCCCCCGGTTCTCTTCGACTCGATCTTTTTTCTTTTTAACTCAATTATTTCTCTCTCAACTCAAACAGCCCACATCTGCTGCTGACACGCATTTCCAGTGTTATTAATCGAAGTTGTGTTTTTTCGTTTCGGTATTTTTCACTTTAGGATCATGTCTGTTTTGCGGACATTCGTCGTCCTCGGGTTCCTCGTCTTTTTCCCGTCGGAGTTTGGCTTTGGTGAGTAAAAACATTGAACATGTTGTTTTATTTGGTTCTTTTTCTGCTTGTTAAGCATAGCGCCGTGTAAATGTGTAGTTACACGAGCTTTGGGTGGCATTTTAGTTAACGCGAAT